TGATAATTTTGCTTGTTAACATGCCAGATGACAGATGAAAATGGGCTTCATCGCTCAGAATAATTTTGTTTAAAACATCGTAATCTTGACTCAACTTTTGGTTACACTAATCAGCGAATTTATGACGTTGTCCGTCATCTTATGGTTTTAATTTTTGCGTCAGCTGGACTTTGTAAGGCTTTAAGACAAAGTCTTTATGCAAAATACCGTGTAAACTAGATTTTGAAAAGCCCAACTCCTCAGAACGTCTTGAAATGAATAAATCTCGACTTTCCTACATGCTCTCAGCTACGGCGGATATTTTCAGCAGACTTGACCGGACAAACACAAATCGCATCTCTATCTTGCCCAAAACTTTTAAATTTATGGATTAACTTGACTATAGCATTGCGAGAAGGCGCTTGATGACCAAAAGCAGGACGAAGTGTGTCCGCGAAATTCTCACTATTTTTATAGTGAGTTTTCTGTATTTCAGTACGTTGTGCGAGCTTATATCTATACATATCCCATAGTCTCGCAATTTTTACTTGTCAAATGTAATATTATTGTCGACTTTATTTTGTCAGTTCAAAAATGGCGCACAATTTAATTTGAAATTTCTTGTTGGAAGACCTTTTATCAATTAATATCACTTAAATGCCAAACTATCTATTATAGTTGTTTAATGATACCAAAATTATACTGATTTCACATTGCCGTTCATTATTCCCAATACGGCATTGATAATTAAGTGGCATAATTCATGACCATACTCGAACTACCTATAGGGATATTTGATTTCACACAAACTGCAAGGCTTGAGTAATTAAATTAGAACAGTGAATTAATTTATTTATAAATGAATTGCAATATCTATTAAATTACAATGTGGATGAGATACAATTTTTCTGTTTTACAATTTTATCTAACGAGGAAAATCTCTTCTTAGAATGTGAGATCATCAGCCTTGTCTTCGAGGTGTACCTAAACCCGAATGTTTCTAGTTTTAGGTTTAGTCTTTAGAAAGTTGATTTGGGTTAATCATCTGGGATTCTTTCGGTTTCGTAGATGAATCAGACCTTGACCATCTTTTTCTGCAATCATGTTTAAATTTTCTGCATATACAGGATGGTTCAGTCTTTAATCGAGAAATTTTACTAGAACGTAGTACTTGCCAAAATAAGACAAGTTTTTTATATAAACATAGGGTCGCAACTCTTTTGTTTTCGAGCTATGAACTGGTAGAATTTAGCAAAAAATTTACATTTTATCTTTTATTTTGGGTATAAGTAAACCGAAGAATTTGAAATTTTGTATGTATGTACTACTGGTTAATACCTTATTTTCAACCACACCTCAAACTTCCCTAGCGCGCTCTAAGGGGATGAAATTCAGAACCCCTTTGATTTTTTTATAACAACTTTTTAACGCCATGGATTAACATAAAAAATACTAAAGAGACAAAAAAGTACCGCTAAAGAATAAACTTTACAACCCATATTTTTTATGTTAATATTCCATAATGTTAAAAAGTTCTTATAAAAAAAATCATTCAAGGGGGTGCTGAATTTCAACCCCTTAAAGGGCGATAGGGAAGTTTAAGGTATGCTTGAAAATAAGGTCTTAACCAGTAGTAAATACGTACAATGTTTCAAATTCTACGGTTTACTTACAGTCGAAATTCAAAACGAAATTCAAATTCTATTTATTATAATTCGTTACAAAAAAAGAACATAGTCCAATACAAAAACACAGTACAATGCAAATTCTCTAGACTACAGAGTCAAACAAATTTTCCCAAGTTAGAAATTCGTCAATCGAATAAAAACATTGCTTAATTTCTTTATAAAATTTCACATAATTCAAAGACTTCGGTAACTTGTTATAAAATGTCGTGCCGTGATAATCAACACCTTGTTGTGTTGTTTTAAGTAATCTATTAAAAAAAGTAGTTTTATTTTTATGCACAAAATCCAAGCATGCTAACACATACAAACACGGAATTGTTAAAATGTTATGTGTTTTGAAAGACGGCTTACAACTTTGCACCTGTCCGAGGCCATCAAGCGTACGCACACACCTTTTTTGAAGCAAAAATATTCTCTGCATTGCCGAGGCCGATCCGCACACTGCAATACCATACCCGGCGATGGCATGAAAACACGCGAAATAAGCCGTTTTGGCGACTTCCAGCGTAGCACAATGTGTCAATCTGCGCACCAAAAACACCACACCTGCCAACCGAATACACAACGCACTTATATGTTCCCCCAATTTAAGGAGGTATCGAACATCAGGCCCAGAAGCTTTGGCGTATTCTTATCTTGTTTGTGGAAGAAGTCTAGTGTAAGAGTCTTTTCGTTATTTATTATTAACCTATTTGCACATAACCAGTCACCAGCAGAGACGAGTGTATCATTACTACTATTCTCAATATTCGGCAGCATGACCTCGAACTACAAAGGAGGTATCATCCGCATAGAAACATGACATAGCACTTTCTACATTTTTTGGGAGATCATTTATATAAACTAGAAATAAAAGGAAGCCAAGTATTCATCCTTGGAGAACATCCCATTTGCATTCTGTCATCTCAGGGAGATCCGAGTTCCACCTGACACACTGATATCGTCCGGATAAATACGATTCTAGCAATCTATTTGCTTTTCCCCTGATGCCATAATAATCAATTTTAGACAACAGGATGGCATGATCTACCGTATCAAAAGCCCGACTAAGATCACAACAGATTATTCTGACCCTATCATGATCATCGTGTGCTTCCGTGATGTGACTAATAAGTTCGATAATAGCCGATGTTGTTGATTTGCTAGTTCTATAGCCGTGCTGTTCATTCTCAAGAATGTTATATTTCTCTAGATAGGCTAAGAGACGGCGTTTGATAATTTGTTCAAATATCTTAGAAAAGGCCGGCAAGAGTGCAATCGGGCGATAATTGCCGTAATTGCTTTTGTCCCCTTTCTTATAGACCGGAGTTATTTTGGCAATTTTGGGTTTGTCCGGAAACACTCCATCGTCCATACATTTATTGAAAATTATAGCCAGGGGCTGCGCAATTACCTCAGCTACTTCCTTGATCATAATAGCGGTAAAGTCATATATGTTTTGACTATGGCTTCGTTTCATATTTTTAATAATACTTAAAATCTCTTCAGCATCAGTAGGTCTGAAGAAGCAAGAATGGGGGTTAGCTTTTGTTGATCTTTCTTAAGTAATCCTCAGGATGAGTCGAGGACATCGTGATCGTGTTGAGCAGTGACTGAACACTTCCGTTGCAAAATGCTCACTGAAACCAAGAGCGTCTAAATCTAAGTACAAAGGCTTTCACGGCCGGTGTGAATTAAACTAAGATTAGAACTAAAACTAGAAACTTTCGGGTTTTGCCGTGCGTCTTTTAATAAAAGGTTTGACGTTTCGGATGCCATGTTGCAACCTTCTTCAGAAACTGGTTCGAAGTATTACAGTTAAGAAGTATTACAGAAGAGTACTTACGAAGTATTACAGTTAAGTCACTTAGAACCAGTTTCTGAAGAAGGTTGCAACATGGCATCCGAAACGTCAAACCTTTTATTAAAAGACGCACGGCAAAACCCGAAAGTTTCTAGTGTTAGTTCTAGTTTTAGTTCTAATCTTAGTTTAAGCGTCTAAATCATTATTAGCTTGTGATTTCTTTTCCTTAGTGCCTTTTTCTGTTCTTATTATCTCACACATTTTCTTATTTTTGTTGGCAGCTCTTTGTATAGCTTCAGAATTTTTTTCTCATTATTCACCAGTAGCAGATATTCCCGCTTACGATTATAAATTTCGTAAGATTGAGCATCCCTCTTACTTGCAGCCATCATACCCAGCGAATCCAACAAAAGCTTTTTCTCCAGAACAGATTGCAATAATCTGCACCCACTTCTCACGTTTATTTTAACCCTTTTATTATGTACTGGAAAAATGTGTTATATTTGTAAAAAAACATTCATGGAATAGATTGTAACAGTCAGTACCCGCCAGCTCTTCTCTGAAACCATTCAAGATTTGCTCACTTCGCACTCTGGTCTTTATACTTTTGTATTGCTCAGGAGGACTGCCCCTATCACCCATAACCCGCAATAACTGGCCACGGCAATCGGAGATATGCAGTTCCATGGTTGAACCCGCTAGTATAGAAGAGCATACATTACTGAAAATATTGTCAATACAACTTGCAGATTTTTCTGTGACCCTGGAATTCTTTTTTACTATAGTGCAAAAAATAATTCTAAATATATTGGACCGATCTTAACCATGTTTAAAGTTGTTTTAGAGTGGATTTTTACTCTATATTTTTTCCTGTGTATATAAAAAACTTGTGTTATTTTGGCAAGTAATGTTTATCCTAGTAAAGTTTCCCGATTAAAAACTGAACCACCCTGTATTTGGTCTGCGCCGGTAGCTTTGATATTTTTTTGGTGTCGTAAGGCTTGTTTACCTTGTTCTTTTGTAATGTTGTGGCTTGACTTATTAATGGTTGTGTTCCTAGGTCTGTTATCATAAAAAGCTCATCAATATGTTGTTTCCATCAAACCAATTTTTCTTCTGCCCATCAAGATTTTGTTGTTGGCATCTTTTAGGATCCCTTTGTTATATTTTTGTTTATAGGTAGGCTGTTTGATCTTTTTATGTAGCTAGAACATGTCGTATTTCGTTTGCAGTTCTTAAATTTTGTTCTTTTAGCCATGTTTCTTTGGCTTTTCGATAAGCTCTTCGAAGATACTTGTTTAGTTCTTTATATTTATTAACATCTTTATTTTTCTGTAATCTTCTGTCGTTCATAAATTATAGAGTTATACAGTACATATTTCTATACATGTAGATGAAGTGGTAAAGGTAGCTTCATTACATGATCTGATCGAGTTCATTTAAAGTTTAATAACTTTGTTATGAAAAAAATTGTTTTATGTTTTTGAAAATTCTAAATGAATTTCCCCCCTTAACCCATTACATAAACCGACTTTTCTTTTTTGTTGCAGTTCCCCCTAACAAACTGCAAATGTTCGATAACTCGGGCAGACGTGAACTGACCAACGGAGTGGTGGGACCATTAGAGGAAGGTGCAGACCTGGTGCTCACGTGCGAGGTGCGAGGGGGTAAGTTTCAGCGTGCAGGCTTTCAGCCTGAAACCCACAGAGCCAGGACGCTTCCTGAATATACACTGTTGAAACGCGCGTCGCCAACGAAAAACCAAGCCTCCAAGCTGAAGCGCTGGTCACCGGATGAGGCACAATGCACGTGCCACCAAACATTTCCGTACGTGTATATTTAGACCACAACTCGGGCCTCCCTTCCGGATGTTATCTACGAACGCCACCCGTATATCCAGATCGATCCATCATTTTTATGGCCGTCATTCGTGCTTCGTTGATTGTGCGGCTTTAATATTTATGAAATGGTCTCGCTTATAATACCCGAACGCGAACTTCAGCATCAGTACGAATGTGTACACTTTTTATTTATTCATTTTATTATAAAAATAATTAGTTTGTCGATACACATTTTTTTTTAATTAACGGAGAGGATATAAATTAATTGCGAGAAACTTTCTCGGTTGAGCTGGGTTTGTCTTAAATTTAATTAGGAAAAAATCTACCCAGATACTTAATAACTTCTATCCTCCAATCCCAAAAAGGGAACAGGAAGGGCTGAAACAAAAACAATCGCCGATTAAAATAATGAACTTTCTCCCTCATCTGCCGTATTTCCTCCCCCTGGGGCCGTAATAAATTCGAACGGCGATGAAGTGTCATAAAATCTAAAAGTAAAATAATTAATTTTGTTTATTTTTCAGGATAGCAAGCTAATAAATAACTTTTGGTTGCGCTTAAATCCGCCTTTTGCTAAATTACTTCTTAATTAATAGCATTAAAGATAAACAGTTTTGTTAGAAAATAAAATAATTCTGAAGGTACAAATAAATTTGGTTTAAATTATAAAGATAAGTTAAGTACTGAAAGTATAAAAACACAATTGTAGGAGTTTAATGTGATACAAAGATAAATTACAAAGGCAAACTGTGCTCAAGAAGGTTAATTAAAGTAGGCACGTTTCTCCGCAATATTTTCCAAAGTTTCTCCAGGACCGAAACTGTGGTCGCAACTCTCGTAAACCGGGCACAATATCCGTCTTAACAAAGGCAATTTGAGTGAGTTTTATAATTGCTTAATTAATTTTCTAAACCCTCTTCTTGTCAACGGCCGCAAAGGTACTTTTCCTTTTAAAAATGTGTTTTAGACTACTAAATGATTGGTTATTTATCTTCATTATTTTCAAATAATTACCTCAATTTCTTTATTGATGTATTGTAATCGAAGGTTATTATTATTGGATTACAGGGATTTAGTATACTTATTGGTAGTATGCTTAGTATACAGTACCCGCAATAGAAATTTGTGTACAAAATAGATTTGCTGTACGCGTGTATTTCCCCCACATAAATTGACCTACAATCGAAATATTTACTATTCGCACTCGTAATCCTTATTAACGTAGTTTGTGTTCCCAAACACCTGTTCCGCAGTTGGACTGTTCGTTTTCATTTATAGGTTCGGTTGGCACCGAAGTACGCTCGAATAAAAACGTGCGATAAATCGCCGGTGAAACTGGCGGAAAATATCGCGTAAGTGTCATGAATAATAAATTATAGGGTTGCAATTTCGAAAAATAGAACGAATGCAAATTAATTACGGGATTGATATATGAATGCGACCGAAGCGCACTTTAGTTCATGCATATTTAGGGTGTTACTTCAAATTATCGACAAAATTTTTTTGCAATGGAGTAAGATTTAACGGGAATTAATAAAAATGGGTTGGTTTTTCAGCATTTTTTTTGTGTTATTATTACGTTGATTTTTTTCTGATTTCTGAGTAGTATTTTATTTGCATTCAAATCTCATTTTTAAACATGTTTAATTCCTGGTTAAAAAAATAAACTGATGGACATATTCAATCCAATCTAACCTTCACAAAACATTTGTAGACTGATTTTACAACAAGGTGTATGAAAAATAATTGAAAACTACAAGTAATACAAATCCATATAGTCCAGTTTCAAGTGAGAAAATATTATTAATGCTTTCTGATGCTGCTGCGACCATTATTGTCTACTAGGTTATCGTAATTCAAAAGTAAGCAATAATAATAAAGCTTTAGACTTTTGATGTGATCGAGCCTATAATTCAAAGTTTGGCAGTTATCGATAAATCATACAAAATACTAGCATTATCACTCGAACTTGCATCTCGAGTTGTAGCCTCAGGTCTTTTTTCAGATATTAACTATGCGATGTTCATCCTCTTTCTGCGCGTACTCGTGGGTATTTCGGTCAAGTTTTATATCCATCCCGTGAAAAAAAAATCTGCAGAGATTATTATTATTATTGCTACCTGGCAGAGGGGAGCGGCCCCTCTCGTCACCGCGACCTATAAGATCTATTTTAACTTTAGCCCTCCAAAAGTGTAGGGCAAATGTAGGTTCTTAATAAACCTTAGTATTGCTCCAAGGTTTTGTCCCTTTATGTCGGTAGTTGTCAAAAGAGCTTTACAGAAAATTATGTGTCTTAGACGGCCTCTGGCAACGCAATAGTTCTGCTTTCAATGGAGGGTGGTCTCAATTGTAGCTTCCTTCTCCGAGTGAAAGCGACTATTTCTGGTTTGTTTGGATTGATGCTGAGCCCATTGCTTCTGCACCAAGTGCTGGTGAGTACTTGGACTTTCTGCATTAGTTCAGTTTTGATTGTGTTACATTTACCTCGGATTGTGATTACCTAGTCATCAGCATCCCCCTGAATCATGAATCCATTTTTTGTTAGGGTGTTCATCAAGTCATCAACGACCACGCACCACAGGAGAGGTGAGAGCACTCTCCCTTGGGGACATCCTCTTAGCGCCTTAATAATCAATGATTCGCCTTCCAGACTGGCTGTGATCTGCCGACTTTTCAACATGGCTATACACCATTTGATTGTCGACGGATGTATATCTATTACGTCTATGCACATAGGACTATCTCTTCGGGTTGCAATTGTCTCCTCTAAGGTGCTAGTCAAAGCGTGGAGAGCAGTAATTGTTGATTTTGCTTTCTAGTAAGATTGTTGACTCGGATGGAGTGGATTGGTGACAAGCATTCCATTCCTTAGTTATTGATCAATTACCTTTTCCATCCCTTTGAGGAGAAATGAAATTAGGCTAATTGGTCTGTATGCTTTAGGATCGCCGTTTGAACGCCCACCACCTTTAGGTATGAAGATCACCGTTACTTTCCTCCATTGTGTAGGTATATAGCTAAAGCTGAATCTTGTTACATATAGGGATATTATTACTGGGAGCAGGTCTTCTATGCCTTTTTGCAGAAAAATAGGCAGAATTCCATCCCCTCCAGGCGATTTTAGGGGCTTAAAATTAGAAATAGCCCTCCTTACTCTGTTGGGTGTAAAAATGTTCCCAGCTGTGCGGCAAACACTACCTGATGGACGGGTTATATCCATTACTTCAGCGTCGGCATCCGCATGGGGGCAGGCTTCTGAGGAAGGGAAGTGCGTGCTCAGTAAGAGCTCCAGCGTTTCTTTAGCATCCTCAGTGTATTTTCCGTCTTGTTTGCATAGGTGGCCTAGACCAGTGTTATGGCCTTTCGCCAAGATCTTATGCAGACGAGCAACTGTAGGCGTGTTATCTATGCCTTTACAGAAGCTGCGCCAGGGTTTTCTTTTGGCTTTACTGATAGCCAAGTTATACTCCGTTAGGGCTTTCCTATAGAGGTCCCATGTTTGCTCGAGTTTGGAATGACTGACTTTATTATATAGTCTTCTAACCATGACTCGCTGTTGCTCAAGGTCCTTATTCCACCAAGGCACATTGAATTGTGCTCTTTTGTGTTTTGTTGGACAGCTTGATTCATATGCATTATGTGTGATATTGTTTAGTTGAAAAGAAGCTATTTCGTCCGGAGTTTATTCTGAATTCTGTCTGTTTTGACATGTGTGTCAATAACAAAGCGTATATGCTTGTGATCCGCTAAAGTGATTTCACGTGAAACATGGCAGTTTGCGACTTGCGAACTGAGTACAGGCGTGACTTGTTACCTCTGTTGAAGATATCTAAAGCATCGTAGCCCAGGAGGAGTTGTTTTCCCCTCTTATCGCAGTAGTCTATGAGGTCTTTCACCTCCTTTGGCGGTGGATCGTCCGATTCACCGGGGAAGTATGAGGAGGCTGTATTCGCCTCTTGCTACCTCCCGGCGCGGCGTCGGCAGTACCGCTGATCTGCAACCAGATCCCTAGAGATAAATTGGGTTAAAGATAGGCAGTTTAGGGAGGATTTAATGAGTATCGCTGCTCTCGCAGGGCACTCTTCTCTGTGATAGATAACTTACGTACTTTTGATGTTAGTCTTCTTCTGACTACACCTCCATATATCGGAGGCGCTTTTACAGTGCTGGATGTTGGCTTGTTTTGCCCTTACCCTTCTTTTCAAAGCTTACCTTACCTGTACCCTTCTTGGAGTCCTTGGATGTTCCGTAAGTTCATGGCTTCGGTTCGGGTTCTTTCTTCTGTGGCGTAGGCTTGCCGCTCTTTGGCCTCAGGATGATTTGCCCGAACTTGTAGCTAACCTTATGGTTAGCTTTTTTAAAGGTCTCTATAGAGGGATGATCAACAGACAGCGTAAGAAAGGCACTGCTGCTTTCGGTCGTCCGTTGGAGCACCCTCTATTCGTTGGTGTTCAGGCCTTCGTTTTGATTTTTAACAATCTTTGCGGTCTGATTTTTCATCCGCGCTGTTGGGGAAATAGGCGTTCATGATAGTCGCTTTAGGTAGGTCCTTTTCATCGATGGCCATTAGGGATGCCCCCTCCCATGGTTGCAGGGTTGGTGTTACGGACTTTATCCTGTCTCCTGGTTCTCGCAGTTGACCACCAACCAGCCTACCTTAAATGTGGTGGCGAGGAATTTAGGCTTGATTTCGCCTTCGTGTCCCTCGCTAAGTTCCACTATTCTTGAGATGATAACCTCTTGAATAACCTGCATTTGGGCTGTTGTGAGGTTCACCTTTGGAAATAGGGAATGTGAAATTTTCATCTTTTTACCTTCCAACACCTGCTTGAAGCGGCAGCTGTAGGTTTTTGTTCCTGCGGAAGATTGCTTCCGCTAGGAACGCTAGGCCTTTCAGTCGCCGTTCGTTTGGTGTCGTGTCCTGTTGGCGTTGTGCTTTCGGAGCGAGCCCTCTTTTTTGGCCCTCTTCTCCTAGTCACTTATAGGCTGTGTGGCCTTTGCTCGAGCTTCCTCAGGAGTCAGCCCTTGTTTGAGCAGCCACTTAAGCCTTTTTCGTGCTGCACCGCTTAATTTCTTATCTTTAACTTGGAGCTTCTTAATGCTCTCCTGAAGTTTGATGGTGTCTGTCGCTGAGACACTACTAGCTGTGGAGGAAGAGGGGGGCATTGTAAGATCTTCTGCGCTTCCACTTGTTGAAGGCGATTTCTGCCTTGTTGCGCTCGGAGTTGCATCAACCTCTTTTATATTATCTTTATTCAGTTCCATAAACGTCCCACGAGTAGCTAGGGAAAGAAGGTCCACCATGTCAGAGTCCTGCATGCCGCAGGAAATGGATTTTGTTGAAACTGAAAGTCCCTAGGTATCCATAGTCCGCTTATTCGGGACCAAGTATTTCCCTCTTGGACAACGCAATAAAGCGATAAAAGTCTTCGACATAAACTGTTCCACCTTGACTTTGGGGTTTTTAACGAGGTTGTCATGTCTCCATCCGTCATCAGTTTTTAAAGGTAACTCAAGCAGCAAATTTTCGAATATATGCCTCAAATATTCTACATGATTCTTGTTCATAAACGTTTTTTATTCAAATCTAATCTTTTAGTTTCTTGCAGGGCGCTTCCTCCCGTCTTCATTATGAATGCACGATTAGGTCATGATCAAGTCCAAACACATTTATAAAACCCTCAAAATACACAAACGTTTTCCTGTAGCAAAGAGAAGATTATTTCTAATTTACAGCACCCAAAAACCAGTTTCATTACAAAACGGTGAGATACAGGTAATTAGTACACGGGTACTATTCTTGTTATTAGGTGGTGTTTTAATTCTCAGAAATCAGATAACGAATAAATTGCTTTTCTCGGAAATACTCCACTGTAGTTGTCTAATATTTGTGAGCAACGGAATATTTTGTATATTTGCTTGTCGTATAGTTAATGTAAATGTTAACTAAAGTTGCTAAAGTCAACTTTGCAGTCTCCGTTCTACAAGCTAACTGTAAGTATGCTGCTATATTTGTTTAGAGAAGCAGATATTCACGACATAAATACTAGTAGCTATCTCAAAATTAACGTGCGATTTTTCATTAAATTATATATGTTATAATCACGATTATTACTACAATAATTAAATGAATTGTCACTATTAAAGTTATAATTTATATTTGTTTCAGTGTAGTTGCTGCATTGTGCTATAACTTTGTGGTTAACCACTCCATATCTCATTAAAATATTAATAATGCGTGATTTAATATCGGCTTATTGTGGTTTTTAATAATAAATTTGTGATTAATTTTATTTCATAAATATAGGAATGAATGGAACAATACAACATAATAACCCAATTAATTTCAAATGTAATATAAATAAAAATTCAATTCATTTTTAATTTATTACAATCCGTGAGACAATGCGGGGACATTGTAAAAACAATGGTCACCAATTAGCAGAGTTTCCATAATGGTAATAGTAACCTTTTTATAAATGTGATTGACAAAAGAGATTTCTATTTCAACGAACAGAAGTTTACATTTCATCGTAGTTGGAAGGAAAAAACGGCTCTGCAAAGCACCAACTGCACCTTTTAATCTGATTTTAATTGCCTGGCACAAAGCGATCCAATTAAAATTTTCAAGAGAGTCCGAATTAAAAAAGCGAAGGCGATGCCGTTGGTTTCAATGAAATTAGCGCTGATTAGCGTCCCGCGGTAACTATTTAACACGAAACAAACTCGGTACCGTTTATAACTGCAGTTAGTTAGGTTTGTAGAGGAAATAACAAACTACGTCAGACAGGTCAAAGTCTTTCACTATTGTTGCCGCGTCTTAATTCAATTTGCATGATTAATACACATAACTGCCTTAATTTGTTACAGGTCGACCTCCACCGACAGTTTCTTGGTTCATTAACGATCGCCTTGTCGAGGGTGAGCTGGAGGCTATTAACCATTACATGATGAACAAGCTCACAGTAAAGCATCTGACCAGGGATCAGCTCAACTCCACCTTCAAATGCCAAGCTAGCAACACTAAGTTAATGACGCCAGTCGAGAAAACAGTTCGTTTAGAACTATTACGTGAGTAAGATCTCTAAACAGCTTTTCCTCCAATTTAATTCTTTAATTTCAGTTAAACCGCAGACGGTGAAGATTTTAAGTAAACCTGCCGAGATGATATCCGATCAAGAATACGTCATAAAGTGCGAAGTAAGGGGCTCGAGGCCAAAGGCGAATGTTACATGGTTGCGGGATAAGAGATTGTTTAGGAGAGGAAGCGTAAGTAATGTGGAAAGTAGTCAAGTTGGCCTCGTAAAGTTGTTTATGTTACTCTACCGTGTCTTCCAATTATGACAAAGTAAGATTACCGACAATCCGACCGTTTGTTTCTTGAAATTAGTCTTATCCCTCTGGGTCAGTACTAGCCACATAGAAAAGAAGAAAATGGTCTGCCGTAAAAATGGAACGTTTCGGTAACCCTATCAAATTACCGTAGTACCGCCGGCCGAAATCGAATGAGCTTAGTTAGTTTTTATATTCGCTTTGGTGCTAGCAGTGAATTTTTATAGGCGTTTCGGTTTAACAAGGTTTTCGTGCCCATTATTCATTGTGGATTTGCCCTATTTTCGGTTCCGTACATTTGTTTTCAGCTCGATTTCAACCGCAAGAGTTACTGTGAAACACGAAGTTACAGAATTAAATTACACTCTCAAAGTTTTATTACTATAACCATTAATTAAATATTTTAATAGGTTCATATATTATAGTTTACTTCGCATAGAATTTGATTTCCATCGTTAATTTTATAACATCTAAAGCGGTCCTATGTGACCAAAATATACAGTGCTAGCGTAAAGTAACCCCCCCCTTCTTAACTTCCGAACAGATTGAGATATCAATATGAACAAAAATACGTCAGTTTTTATATTTTATCAGCACAAATATTATCTTACGGAAAATTTTGCTATCACTTTTAGTTTTTCCGGAAAATGGATCAACTTCGTTTTTTTTAATGGAACACCTAGTATATTATGGTATCTTCAGAAAGATGAAAACGATACGAATCCAACGGTACCTCACAATCAAATATCGATTTATTAGTTTTTCGAATAAAAATTAAACAAAATGCGGAATTTCGCCGAAAAAACCAACGTATCTTCGTCGACTACCTGTCGAAATGCAATCGACCAGGTAAATGGTGGACGGTAGGTTAACGGTCGGTATATGCTCGAGCTAAGACGGATTTAAAATTGCTAGTTCAATTACTTATCTTTTTTAGAAATAAAGTAAACGTTGGGTGGAAGTACCTATATTAAATTTATGAATTAATCATATTTAATCAAAAAGTATTTATAAAGAAAAATCAAAGTAAATATAAGAAATGATAAGATAAAAAAAAAATTTATCAAAGATTTTGCTAGTATACCATAACGGTTGAAAAATTGGCTTAGTGTTGTTATTGAATATGTTATTTATTAAGAACAAACTATTAAATAAATTGTTCGATATGATTACCCTGAACTTCTTGGCAGTGGTACCATCTTTGCAGTGTTTCCTCTCTCACACGGCTTAACATGTGATGATCAATATTTTGGCAGACGTCAATAATTTTTTGTTTTAAATCCTCAATACTGTCTAGCGGACTTTCATATACCTTGGATTTTAAATAACCCCATAAAAAGAAATCTAAAGGTGTCAGATCTGCTGATCTTGTTGGCCATTCAATCGGCCCACGTCGACCGATCCACCGTCCATTAAAATTTGTATCAAAATAATTTCGTACCATTGGCGCATAATGTGGAGGTGCTCCGTCTTGATGAAACATTAATTCCATTTCAAAATCGTCAGGATTCTGTTGCACAATTTGCAAAAGTCGTGGATTAATATCTTCTTCTAATAATCTTAAATACAATGTTACGGTCAAATTTTCGGTTAGGAATATTGGTCCCACGATGTGATTTCCTAATATGCCTGCCCAAACATTTATTTTCTTGGGAAATGGAGTGTTAACTTCGCGATATTCATGTAGATTAACATCACTCCAGTAACGTACATTTTGCCGATGCAATTTTCCATCCAAAAAGAAAGTACATTCATCACTGAAACAAATATGTTTCAAGTATGATGGATTTCGTTCAACCATATTTGTCATTAGCTTACAAAATTCTGTTCTTCTATCAGGGTCATCTTCTGTTAATTCATGAAGCATTTTAATTTTATATGGATGATATTTATTCTTCTTTAAATATTTCCGTGCCGTTGTTGGACTCACATCACACGTTGATGCGATAGCAGCAGACGACATCATGTTCGCATTAACTACTTCTGTTAATATCTGCACTTGTGTGTCTTCAGAAATCGGACGACGACCAGTTCTTTTGCGGTCTTCGACGCTTCCAGTTTCCAAAAACTTATTTACAAGTTCTCTTAAATATTTTCGACTAATAGGATGTTCAGGAAATCGTTCATTAAATTGTCGCTCTGTTTCATATAGATTTGTGTCAGCACGAGCGAATATTAAAATTGCTTCGATTTTGTGCTCTAAACTACTTCTAGCCTTTTTGATCTGCCTTTCTTTGGTTATACTTGGTCGGGTAGAATTCAAAGATAGAAATGAAGAAAATATTTGCATGCCGACTTAAATACAAAATTTCAAGGTACCTACAAACTTTAAAATTGTTGTTATGACAATTTTTTCTTACAAGTTTTAAGAAGAACTTTCTTTTTATTCTTTTCTTACATTGATTGTTTCATAAAAAAATTTCTAAAAAAATTGCCGATTTTAACCCTGCTTAACCCGAGCGTAGACCGACCTTTAACTGACCGTCCACCATTTACCTGGTCCATTGTATCTCGACAGGTAGTCAACGAAGATACGTTGGTTTTTCCGGCGAAATTCCGCATTTTGTTTAATTTTTATGCAAAAAACTAATAAGCCGATATTTGATTATGGGGTATCGTTGGATTCGTATTGTTTTATTCTTTCGGAAGGTACCATAATATACTGGGTGTTCCATTTAAAAAAACAAAGTTGATCCACTTTCCGGAAAAACTAAAAGTGACAGCAAAATTTTCCATAAGAAAATATTTGTGCTGATAAAGTATAGAAATTGACGTGTTTTTGTTCATATTGATATCTCAATCCGTTCAGAAGTTAAAAGGGGGGGGGGTTACTTTACGCTAGCACTGTATAACCTTTCAATAAACGCGCGTGCACTATCAGTCTGTACAATTTAAATTTCTAATTTCGCACTAACTTTGAAACTTTCTAGGTCTACGTCTAATGTTACGTCTAGTTTTAATTGCTATTAATTATTTTTATTTGTGTATATTTTTATTGAACTAAGAGTAGAACTAACACTAGAGCTAGAAATAGAAACGTTTGGGTTTAGCCGTCTTAAAAGACGCGCGGCTAAACTCGAATGTTTCTATTTTTAGGTCTAGTGTTAGTTCTAGAGCTAGTATTAGTTTTAGTTTTAGTTGTTCCGCAAATGTCTGATGAATACTAAATATCTATGATGCAAATGGATTAGGCTATATGGGTTTAATACAAAAAGTAAATAATAAAATTCGGATAATAAATTTTATTGACAATTGCGGATTCACGGTCCGCCGCGTGTGACTGTGTGTACTGAAAGTTTAATATTACATACTTTATATTACAGACCGAGGAGAATATCACGGAGAACGGTTTCCTTGTGAATAGTTTTCTCCGGTTCGCCCCTGTACCCGAAGACGATACAACTGTCCTTAAGTGCAGAGGAGAGAATCCACAGCTGCTCTCTGGCCAAGAAGACACTTTCATGCTCAACGTTGTCTGTAAGTTAAACCTTTAATTAAGTTTCCTTTAATTAAATCGCGTACACCTGGCCCATATGTTGGTTAAAATTTTTCACGAAGCCATTAATATTTTCAATGGAAATATATTTTATTTAATCATCACGTAAAATTTCGCAGAATAATAAAAAATATAGTTTGGGATCTCTCGATTTTATTTATTTTAAATAGTAGTTGATTATAGAGAAAAGCGAAGTTGCATTGGAAATTTAATTCCTGCATTGAATTTCATAAATGAGTTTTAATAGCTTACAAGTCAACAAAATTCAATATTCAAATATACAATAAAACCACATCGAAAGGTTGAAAAGAATATTTTACCAAAATATCATTACCCTTAATTTTGAATATATTTAAATTGAAAACATTTTTAGTGATCATCAAAAAACATTATCATTATATTAATATAAATGATATTAACATTTTCGTATTGTTAAACGGATTTGCTTTGCAGAAGGTTTGACATCATCGTCTCTGAGCACTGGAACGACGTTCGATTATATTGTTATTAATGTAATTCGATGTTGTATCTTCTCTCCGAGGTATTAACCTACTTAAATCATGCATAAGGACCCGTCAGACTTTTTAACCCTAAACGAATGGTTATGTTCTTCAATAGACCAAGACGTAGGCATCTTGTTTGCGTCTTACAGTAGCATAATTAAGATGATTTTTATTTACTTCATCTAGTTTTTGTAGTCTTGGGAATTTTAAATGATTGGAACTCATCGACAAATCCTACGTTGTCCAGCAATTGAAGAACTGTGCTCCAGCCGCAAGTGACTTCGACTTAATTAGCCAAAATTTCTACAACTTCATTTCGTAAGACCGCTTATGGTGGAGGTACTACGATGTGTTAATCAGTTTCAGGTACATATTGTGACAATTATTGAGCCTCGACCGCAAGCGACTTCGGCTTAGTTACTAAAAAGATCTTCAATTTCCCCTGATAAAGCCGAGGCGCTTATAGTTATACAATTCCAGCACAATCAAGGTTCTTTACCAAAGTTCTTGCACCATTCAGCACTAAAATAAACTTTGTTTTAGATTTTTCTTGTATCTTTCTTCTTTTTCTAGCCTCTGTTCAATATTATTCTTCTATTGCCTCCACTTCCCTTCATCATAACAAACTCAAGTAGATATAATTTGCTCATATTTTGAACATTACAGTTGTCAAATGCTGAAGACAAATTTATATTGCTTCTCCTTTATTAATGACAGAAATAGTTAATGTTTTTCTTTCCTTTTCTATTGTTTTGTTTTATTTTGTTTTTTCTTTTACTTTTTCGATTATTTGGTTGGATAGAGCAGATTTTTCTGGATACCGCCGTTTGTATCTCGATATATACATTTCTTTTTATTTTTGTTTTTATTTTATTTTAATTTACCATAACACCTTGAGGTATCGTTGTTTTCATTTATTGTTTACGTTAAAAACTAAATGCCATCGTAATCTAGTAATATAATGCGTCATGACAGTTAGTTGATTGGTAATTTGGAAATCATCAGTTATTCTCTGCTTAGCCTCTTGTTCATCTCCTTCGTCTCCCTTGACGGATTCTTTAACCTACTATCACAGGCTTTTGTAGTATTAAAGATGTCGCTGTCTTACCTTTGCCTTGGATCTCGTGGCAACCTTCTTAGTAATCCTGAAAGCCTAATCGATGTTCTCATGCTGAAACCCAAATAAGTTATTCGTTTAACCCATATGAAGTGATGAACAAATGTTCGTTTAAAATTCGTTTGATGTATGAAAGCTTGGTTTCATTTAATGTAATCTGAAAAGTTGACGTTTCTAAAGCTTTATTTAGAATTCGTGGCGAAGTCGATTAAAATATCAAGTCTGTCACAGTTAAAGTTTCATTGTCTACATTATGTAAGGGATTGTAATATATATGATAGGTCTGTAAAGTGATTAATATTCAGGAGGGTTCGATAATTGAGTTACTTTGAATTTAGTTGATTTTAAGGGAATTTAAATGTTTAGATTATATTTTAACGGTTTCTTCAGATATTGAAATAATGATGTATGTTTTATTATTTTTTGATTATGTTTGTAACTAACAAAACAGCAATTCGATCATTTTGATGTTGGTTCTGATGAATTAACCTGGATACATTGATAGGATATAGTGTTATTATTTGTCCTTTGAGCACTCTCATTACTCCAAACCATAATTTTATTGGACAGTAAACCTGTACATGTCCATCACAATTAATATCACAAACCTTATTTTAAAATTCATTGTTCATCAAAAGAAATGTTGGTACCACAAATTCTTGTGAATTACAATTTAAGAGGGTAATAAATAAAAATTCAAAATAAAACTATGTAGCAGGAACGTTGACCTTCCGTGTAGACATGGCGATATCGCGTCTATTTCATGCCGACTTCCAATTCGTTTTTAAAGTCTTCATTTTTAAGCTTTGAACCGGGTATAATTGCAGACATCGGTTTCCGGTAGCGGAAGGCCTCCGTCACGTTATCATATACTGAGAAATATGCAGATTGCCGCCACAGTGTTTCGCGATCATGAACTGTAATTTACTCGAAAGGATGTCAGTGTATAAATTACAATAGGGCGTCGGAACGTATCTCCACCGTTGAAAATTATTACACTTCCTGGAGGGTAAAATATGAGCAGAGCCGGTTGCATGATGGAATTCAGCAAGCACTCAAGGAGTACGACATCCCTAAGCCAGTAAATTTGACTTCTGCTTTGATGAAGATTAACAATCATTGTGATATTGATAGCCGCAAGATTCTGAGGGAATTAGAAGCGTAGGACTCGCTTGACAGATTTTAATACCTGTTTATTCTAATCTGACGGTTGCGTCCGAAATGGCTCGAGTAAAGCTTTTAGTATTTAGACATCGTAAATATGCCTTGGGACTAATACTAGCTAACCCCACTAAAATCTCTCTCTCTCACGACCCAGTTTTGGTCATCGGACGCAGGTGTGTTAGTAGCTATGTGTGACGCAGACGAAACGCCAGATCGATATCCTTTTACTCCCGGTGTAGAAAGCTTAATCTGACTCGTTTAATGTTTCACCAATTCAAGTCAAACATTAACAACACATTTGTGAATTCTTAATAAATTTTATGTGATTTTGTGGTGATTGTTTATGAATAAGATTTATAGATTACATTAATTATTTTTAAAAAATTATTTCTTTGTTAAAACATGGCTGTTTAATTAAATTTCGTAATATACTTGCTTCTATTTATCTTCGCACGGAGTGGTGACTTTGGGTCATTCCATTCGTGCCTCGACTGTATTTACTGTATGTTGGCTGAAAATTATGTATGTAGCATACATTCTAAAGTAACGTAGCAATTAAACCAAGTGCATGGTAATTTGAATATATCTAGAACAATTTTTAATATCTTATAGATATCTGAATAACATTAATAAAGAACAACAAATAACGAAAATTTTTGAACACAGAATACAATATTTATAATAAACTTTATTTATCAACATAATAACACCATAATATACATATTTTATAGACGTGGAATAATAACGGGTTGTTTTTTGTAACAATCTTTAATGCACAACACACGACAATAAGTTTAACAAAAAATAGTAAACTCTTGATTTTGGCAGAAGATTCTTTAGTTTCTCTTTTTCTTACTAACCTACTTCTATTGACGGGCATCATACAACTCGGCCCTCCTGCTCGTCATCCGTCTCGGATGAATCGCTGTTCAAAACATCAAATCCATGAACCTGCTTCCAAGGTTTCATAGAATTCGCGGTAGTTGATGTCTTTCCCAGCCCTTCTCCGAATCCTACTTTCTTAACCATCTCCTTTGTTTTCCAAACTCCAAAATGACCATTTCCATGTAATCTTCTGATGATCTCCCCTTGTAAAATCTTCGGTACCACTTTCAAATTAGATCCGTCTACATTTTTACATAATAGTCCACAGTCAATAACATAATTGTCATAATCGGCTTTACTTAGCAGTCTGAAGATTGAATTTAAGTTTTCATCGCTCTCTTGCGCCAAACGTATCCACATTATTAATCCGTCTTCTATAATCATTGCTGGGTATCTTGACATAGCATCCACATGCTTCATATTAGAAGCAGGTCGGTGTATTATAGAATAGTCAGAATCTTCTAGACTCAGCGCTCATCGAGCAATTTTTGTACTCAATTCTTTCTTGTGCATAGTTAGTTTGAAAGCTGCAGAATCCCTTGCAAATAAACTCTAAACTTTGCCAGAGCCTTGATAATAGCGAGAACTTCTAATTCGGAGCTACAGTAGTTTTGTTCTGCGACAGATGTTCCACGACTGTAGTTGTATACAGGATGAAATTTTTGATCATCTGAACTTCTTTGCATGAGTATGGCAGTTATTCCATACTTACTGGCGTCAGTGTGAACTTCAGTTTCAGCAACTTTGTTGGAAAATCTTTAACACCGGTGGATTCGTTAACGACAATTTTACCATTTGAAATGCCTTACGTTCTTCTTCGCAGTCTTCAAATGGTACATCTTTTATAAGTAGTCTGGGTATCTGCTTTGCTATTATGAAATAGTCTCACGAATTTTCTAAAATATTCCGACAAACCGAGGAATGATTGTAATTGTTTAACATTGGTAGGTTCGTGGAATGAATTGCAGGTTTCAACTTATTCGGTGTAGGCCTCAATCCTCCATTTTCTATTTCGTGCCCAAGGTATTTGGGCACGAAATACAAGTTGATTTCTAATCCATATTCTGAGGACGTAGTCAATACTTGCTTTAGCTTCTTTATTTCAACATCTTCATAAGGTATTACTAAGTCGTCTAGATAGGTTATTACTTATTACTGTTCCATCACGAATGCGAGTTTAAAAAATGCTATTGATAAATCTTTGGAAAATTGATGGGAAATTGCAGAAACCAAACGGGGTACGCACAAATTCAAATTATCCATTATGCGTTACGAATGCTGTGTATTTTCTACTGGACTCTGCCACTGGAAT